CATTCCTCATTTCGCTCAATTTAACACTGTCTTTGCATGGGCTGATTCTGTGAGAACAGCACCATCTACAGGCCTGGCATATGTACTACAGCGTCTCCAGCGCTTTCGAACGGCAATGTCCGTGGCTGTCTCCTCCTGATTGGTGGAGTTGGCCCAATAGCCGTAGCGCCACTTCTGTGACGTCATAGAAGTGTTCAAATCTGGATCAGTCTGTATCAGATCCGTTGCAGCCCCTTTTTAAGAGATTTGGGTATGGAGGAAAATAGAGAGGGTTGTGACACTTGGTGAGTTCCCTGGAACACATATTCATGTATAAAAGACGTACAAAAGTGCATTTTGCATGATAGGTCACCTTTAAAGAGGCTCTATATTTCCCTTTCCTGTAGTGTTATATAGGTTTGTGTGCATGTAAATGGTCTGCAAAGGCTAAATTCACAAAGTTACCCCCCGAATCCCCTGCCTGAAGCGCCTTGATTGGAATCCTTTGTTCACATCATTATTTTGTTGAGTCTTAAGAAAGTGGAAAAATAAGCACACTTCAAAGCTGTCTTCATCAACCTTGTGTTGCTGTGGGCTTGACGTAAACATGGCAGCATTCGTTAGAGACTTAAGTTGCGTTGGAGGAAGATGTCAGCAGGTTAAACCTCGTCATACTGTTGCTGTGACTTTTAAAAAAAAAATTAAATGACGTATTTAAACAGGAGATCATGTGATATTGCCCCCACATGTAGGTAATCATTACATGCTTCTCAAAGTCACCCACTCAGTTCACGGCTGTAGCCTCTCCACTGATGACGGCAGCAGGGCTCGACCCTTTCAGCGCTGTAAACGACAGAGCTGTGCTTTCATCTCTGGAGAGCAAAGGAAAAAGGGAGGAGAGACAGAGGTGGAGGATGGCAGAAGTAATCTCTGAGGGACAACGTATGCCATGTTGGCCTCGGGTAATGTATGACTTCTTGTGGTAATCGCTGTAATGAAGCACGTAGCTGGTTGAGAGCAAAAGAGTGCGTTTTCACTTCTTACAGTCCGGAGGGGCCAGAAGAGCCTCAGGAAATGAGCCCCTAGGTCCAGGAGATAGAGTGGATGGTGTGTGATTGGGAAGGAGGAGGAGGAGGGGGTGGATGAAGCTGGATGAGGGATATTTTGGGTAGAGGAGCAGAGAGCAGGATTGGAGAAGGGGAGCTTAGTCGGAGCTGTGTGAGTGTGTGATAAATGCCTCATTTCTGTGCTGCCAATGAGAGGCGCAACGAGAAAATGGATGTTCCCGTGTCTTTAATTGTATCCAGTTCAAGGCCACATTTGGCCATCCATCAGTGGACTGTGTGGACACTCTCTACTACAGCTGGTCTTTTTTTATGGAAATACATATTTTATTAGCCATGTAGGGATGCAGACTGTATAGGTACTCCATGCACAATTTAATCATAACATCCACTCCGATTTTTCGTCAACGGATAATTATGTCCTTGAGCACGAATGTAGGCGGATGGTGTGTTCTGTTTCTGTAGCATTTGTATTAAAATATGGTCACCATAAACAGCAAGATAAAAGCATAGTTTTTTAATAGACATGTTGTGGCACCTTTTGCAGTTAAAGGCCTCATGCAGGAAGCTTTACAAGATTACAAACTATTTGGTTAATAACCATTAATTTCTGGAATTCACAAATTCTTATTTTAGCTCTTGTCTTTGAGTAATTCTTACACCTTTAATAACTAACAATCATAATAATAACTCAGCACAGCAGGGAAAGAACAGATCTTGTTTATTAAGAACATTTGGTGCATCTAGAGTTGACTCTTTTTAACTGAGAATAAGAGAAAATATCAGGAAAATATGAGAGAATGGTGCCGTATGAGGCCCGGTGAGTAGAGATATGATATTACAGTGACATCATAAACCTGACTGCAGCATGATGTCAGCTCAGCACACATCACAGCACCTTAATGTCCTCCCAGTGCAGACTCCAGTCTACAGGCAGGTGACTGAATACGTCCCTCTATGTGTGTACCATCTCTTTGATCCAACCGACCTTTCAATCCACATGCATTTTCTCTTTGTGCAACCCTTCCTCTGTTTTTTCTGGCAGCATGTGCACCATGTTTGTTTGTTTGCATGTGGGAGTGCTTTTGGATTATCCTGTTTTAGACCAGCTAGGAAAAGATCCGAAGATTGGCTGAGGTTTTATCCCCCTCTCTCTTAAAACACAAGGAAAATAGCAACCGTGGAGGAGGGGAGCTGATGAAAATAGCTCAGTAGGCAATGGCTGACTCACAAGGCAATGCTGGGAGTCAGGAAGGCATCCATTCCAGTGTACATCAAATCAACTAGCTGTTGTGTAACTCCGTCAGTACCCGTAAATCAAACAGTTTCTCGCTGCAATAGCTAGTATGAGTATGACTTTAGTGCAAATGTCTCCTTTGTGGCTGCATATTAAGATGGCGGTGACATTACAGGTGCCATTTATCACTGTTGACAGCATTAGCCAGAGTCTTTAGGACCGGGCAGGCAGGCCAAGGTCGCTTTGCTTTGATGAAGCTTGGTCAGCTAAGTAAGCCGGCTCATTCATCATGCCAGTCAAGGAGCGTAGGCTGTCACTGCTCTTGTTTTTTTAAGGAAATGGAACACAAGCATGAACCAGACATATGAATCAGAGTCTGATTAACATATCAGCTACCCCACCGGTTACTCATGCACCTGCAGGGCAGCTCTAGCTTAAAAATACATGCAGTTATTGCAAAAGAGAGATAAAAAGTAAAATAAATGGTATTGAATTAGCTGGAGAAAAGAAAAATCAATGTGCAGAAGCATCCTGGTTAAGGAGTATATTGTTTGTGTTTTCACTTGTAATTTATTCTGGTTTGAAAAACCTGGATAGGCTCCCAGTTTATGGGAAATTTGATTGTGTCATGTTAAAATGCTATCCACATTTCTGACCCCTGTGTGCCATGAGTGCAGTGCAACTAAAGCTATGAAGTCAATAACAGAAAGAGATAAGTGATGTAATAATGTTATATTTGCTGAAATGAAAGTAAAAGCTGACTCTGGTAATGCATATGTCCTCCACTTAGATGGAAAGTCAACAGCAGTGTGTCCTGGCAACCAGAAACCAAACTAAAAGTCACACAATACCAAAAATAAACAAAACCAATTCAGGCAGAAGTACACAATCAACCCTCTTGTTCTGAAAGGTCTGAATGGATTTTGTAGATGACGGCCTCAGTTTGCCATCGTAAATGGTGGTCTCAAAGCAAGAAAATGTTATAGCATAGCATCAATTAAACTGACAGATTTCTTTGTTGGGCCTTTCTTTAAGATGATTCCAAACTTCCTAACTGGGGGCGGGCCATCCACTGTAGGAAAAACATTTACTATTGATATGCAGCTCACACATATCTACTTCCAAACTGAACTACAGCATCAAGGTTTGGTAATGCTCCAAAAATTCTCCAAACTAATTATTGATGCAAATTTGAATGCTGAGTGGGCGGGGCCAAACCAGAATCAGTGTATCCAAAAACCAAAAGAAAGCAAACACCAAAATATTTTAAGACATTTTGAAAAGCCTTCTTTTATAGCAAGCTTCAGGTCCTTGTTGGCTGCCCGGCTACACATTTTCGGATTGTTGGACGTTCTCGGCCTTTCTTGAAACTCAAGTTATTTGGGGGGCACACAAAAATAGGAATGGCGTTTTTCAGAAGGATGTGACGGAAAGCTTTACTGTAAATCAGGGATGGGCAAATGGCGGCCCGGGGGCCCCCACTGACAGGTGTCTGTGTTGACATTCCCCTTATTGTGGAATAAGGGGAATGCAGAGACTGGCTACAAGTGTCTCAGGTTCAAGTTAGACAACTAATGTCTGGGTTAGTGTTCATGACTTCATGTTTATGTCATCTTAATGGTTAATCTCAATGCACACACATTTTCCGTGCTTTTCAATGGTTTAAAATGGTTTTATTCTACTGTTAGATAACCTGTTCAATACAAACATGCCACTTGTAAAAATTAAACAACATTTCTGTGAACTGATATTTGTTTAGTGAGCTTATTAGAGGATGTTCCCTGAAAGATTGTAAAATGTCAATGAAGATGTCAGACTTAATTTGTTAATAACTACATACAACACATGGAATTTGTGTGTGTGTGTGTTCCAAGTGAATCTGCGGCCCCCTGGTGGCCAGTACATCAATTACGTGGCCCCCACCACCATCAAAGTTGCCCATCCCTGCTGTAAATAAACTCAAAGAAACACTGAGACCCTGCCAGCCTTTGGGATATAAAAAAGTGTACTCTGAAAACTAAGTGCTATGAAATATGTGTATGCAGGAGTTTAAAAAGACTTGGACACACAGTGCTAGACCTTTGTGGTTTTGCAACAATGCAACTGTGCAGACTTAGCCAGCTACAACATATGTAACAGTCATAAAGCCTCAGGTTAATTTTGTCAATTACACATTTTTCACATCCTGTCTTCGCTTCATTTTGGACTGATTGCATCATTGCACTGACTCCGCCTTGAAAGTTCGCTTCTGCTTTTTCTAATCCAAAACTTTAGAATCACGGAACAGGGAGATGAAAAATCAGGTGCTTTTTGTTTAATGTAAATGTCCATAACATACTACTGTGAATATAATAATACTGAATGTATGTGCTCTCTCTGAAGTATGTACAATTATCCATGAGTCATCTTTCAATTTCACATTGAATAACACACTGTCCCTCACTCTGCCTCCTGTCTTGCTCTGTGCCCACTTTGCTTTTAAATATTTAAAATTGTGTGTGCCAGAAATCCGACCGCTCTCAGTCTACTGCGGCTTTAATCCTTTTTGTTTATTGCGAATGGTGGTCTCTTTGATGTTTTTAGCGCTCCGGCACTGCCACTGATAGTTGACCCCTGCCAGGATTACGACGAGGTGTTATTCATTTTTTGGCAGGAACATTCAATTGAATGGAAATAATCTGGTGTTTTAATAATTAATGAGAGAATGTCTCTATCCTCAGGTTGAGGTGATGCAGTCTCTGTTTGGCGGAGGGGAGATGGGGCTGCTGGGAGGAGGCGGCGACGCAGGAGGCCTGAAGGAGGACGGCTGCGGCAGCGTGGTGTGGCACTCCTCCCCCCTCCCCCCCGACGATGTCTACTCCGCCTCCCACTTCGCCCTTATCGCCGCCTATCAGGACATCAAGACCAGGCTGGTGTGCCTGGAGCGTGAGAACACCAGCATCAAGAGGAAGCTCAAAATCTATGAGATCAAGGTGAAGAGTTTTACTTCTAAAGTCAAATATGGGGAGATTTGTCAAAACCAATGGTATTGAATTTATTGTCCTTGTGGGTATCAGACTAAAGGTCTCCAGTACCGACAAGGATAAGGCCAGTTTGTCTTTTGATTTATTCGTTTTTAGAAAAAAGTGAGCTATCCAGCCTGAGCATTAAGGCGATGAGATTGTACACAAAGATCAAAGCAGAGGTGGCTTTGCTGGGCTTTGATCCGGGACCAGCGGAGGAATAAACAGGAAAAATCATTCCACTAAATCAAGGCAGAGGGCTACTGAAGGTTTACCTAATGCTTGAGTAAAACATATATATTGAGTAACAACCGTAAAGTGCAGTGGGAGCAAACTGAGGGGCTATAAAAGCAGGGTTTCGCACAGTCAAGCCATTTTTGAAACTGCACTTATATCCCACAGCAGCTAATAGTCGAGTTAACATAGCCCTTCAAGGTAACTAATGATCCCTTTTAAACCTGGTATCAACATGCAATCTGTATATGTATACAGTATCGGGATAATGAAGAGAGGTCACAGGCTTTTACATGTATGCTGTTCCCTGCCTGCATCAAATTGGATCTCGGTGTGCAGATTATGCAAGCAGAGCCGGCAGATTGTCAACAAACGCCACATGTTCTGGTAATGCTGCTGTATGGGCTCCATCCAATGTTGAGCAGTTCAAGTTCAAGTTATTAATATGAAATAGCACAACAATTACAAGCAATAAACAGTAATACTATATATAAATCCCACATTTTATGAAGTGAATGTAGGCAAGAAGATAGTAAATGTTTATGCGTTACAAGAAATAAAACATAATATGGAAGCCCATTTCCGGCACTTGAAAAAAATAAAATCCCCATGAAAAGTCATAATGAGATAAAAAAGTCGAAATTATGAGATAAAAAGTCATAATTATGAGATAAGAAAGTCGAAATTATGAGAGAAAATAGTCGAAATTATGAGATAAAAAGTCATAATAATGAGATAAAAAGTCATAATTATGAGATAAAAAGTCATAATTATGAGATAAGAAGTGCGCATGCGCTGCAGTGGCGCTGTCTTCAAAGGTCCCTTCATCACCTTGCTGCTCTCCACCATGCAAACGGCATCTAGTCCTAAATAAGGTAACTATTACAGGTGACTTTTGTAAATGTTACATATAGCCTATATTGTAGCTAAACTACAACAATGCAGTTCATAGCTTTGACATGACCTGTTATGAACTATAATATATATGCCTATAGTTTTGTGGTAACGTTCACGCCACTAATGACAATAGTGTAGGCATACTGCTGCTGTGAGTTGCTAGCCTAACTCTAACCTGTGAACGTTACCACAAAACTATAGGCAATATTATTGTTCATAACAGGTAATGTCAAAGCTATGAACTACATTGTTGTTTAGCTGCAATATAGGCTATATGTAACATCTAACATTTACAAAAGTCACCTGTAATAGTTACCTTATGTAGCTGACGCTCAAAGGTCCCTTATTATTGTTTTGTCCTTTTTGAAGAGTGTTTAATGTATGCTTGAACTTTGTTTTATTTTGTAAAAATGATAAGAGTTGTCTTTCCGGAAGTCATGTGACCTCTTGCCCCGGATGTTTATATTGTGTTTGTGTNCAGTTATTTTAGCCGGGCCGGCTCAGATGATTGGTCGTGCTTTTTACAGTACTACGGCTTCCACAGATGAAATTTTTTGTATGGATCTTTTGTCAAAGCACTTTAAGATATTCATTGCAATCGGGATTTTAAGAGCATTCCATGGAATATAACAACAAGTGTATCTCGAGCCGGTTTCTCAAACTTACTACCCCACCTTTAATATAACTTGAACAAATTATAAATGGTAGTAACTCATTAATAAATGGTGATTTGTTTAACACTTTACAAGGCTCCCTTTTTGGCAGTTATAAATGTTAGTAAACTCATAAATAAATAGTCATAAAGAAATGCCAAGAAACATCAAGATGGAAGGGGAAAATCAACTCAGTGAATAACACATACCAAGGATGCTGGCTGATGAAGAAGACAAAGTAAGCTAGGTAGCCAATATAAGGCTTTGTCATCTTGCCAAATAGTGAGCCTGTGTTGATGTATGAAAACTGTTAGAACTGGTTTATAAATGGTTCTTAATGATTAATAAAGTGTTTACGACCTAATTATACAACCCTGTATGAATCCTTTTATAAGGGTAGTCTTATTATAAAGTGGTACCCATTATTTGTATAAGATAAATGTAATTAATCACCTACAAGGACAAACCAACATCTACCACTAATTTAGCTGTAATGCAAGCTCATAATCTGGGAAACTAGTCTCTAAAAAACTCCAATATCAGATGTTTTCTGAAATCAGAACTTTTAAGAATGCAGCACACACGCAAATGTAATATGTAAGAATACATACAGAAGTTATGTTTGATTGTAAATTAATGCTTCTTAAGGTGTTTTTAAAGGAAAGCACATTGAAGAAGACTTCCCTAGTGGCTGTAATATTTTTGACATGTTTTCCCCCTCATCTGTGCTTTTCAACAAAAAGTGGGTAACTTCTGTGATGATATGTTTGTATGTGCTTCACAAGTTCTAAATTGAATCACAAAACAGAAAAATAATGTAAAAATGTGGCCGGGGGCAAATATCATCATGATTTGTGCATACAGATGCCAGTTCACACATTATTTCAGTGCATGTTCCAGTTTATTTTATAGAATATTTACAGACAAAGAGAGAAAGAAAAAGTGAATCTTCATGAACCTTTGTTGCTGCTTTCCTTTAGTTAATCACACTCGTAAAGGTCTTTGAATGCCAGCAGTGTTGTTGCACCACACAGACGTTAGGCAGAGTAGACATTATTTCTCATTAGTGTAGTGGAGAGTTCATTAGTGCTGAGGTCTTTGTGTGCGCTTAGTGTTACCCAGGAGACTCGCAAGCTACTTACAGGAGAGAGGAGCTATACAAGAATGAAAAATCTGGCCTTTTTAAAACGGTTTCTCTTTGTTGGACCTAGCCGTTGGCCTCCTGAGTAAATCTGAGGGACATTTTGGAGTGAAATTCCATGATAAAGAAACATTTAATATAATCTAACACTGACAGAACTCTGTTATCTCCTGAGTAAACCAAAGTGGTTGTTAGGAAACATAAAAAGAGGAAAAACAGATGAGATCTTGACAGTCAGCAGCCACAAAAGCAAAATCTTAAACGTGAACAATTGATTGTTATCTTCATGTGACCTCAGAACAGCTTCTGTATACTTGCAGATGTGTTACAGCACAAACATCAGTGTGCATCACACTGTGAGCTCAGACTGTGAGCCTGTACTGTGTGTGTGTAGTGTGTACTATGTGTGTTCACTCTGCTTTGCCGCTTTTGGCCAACAGGCTGTGGTTTGAAAACATCCCTGCCACCATTGACCACAATGCAGCAGCTTCCTCCTCACTGACATGAACAAGAAGCACGCTAAACTCTGCAATGTCCTCTGTCAGGAAACTATTTGTTGTCTTTGGTTGTGAGCCAATGTGGATCCTCTGATTTTGGAGAAAAAAGTGCAACGTTTCTTTACCTGCTGCACTTAAGCATTTCCTTTATGACATTTTTTTTGCAATCTGAATTCATAAACAAATCAAATAACAGTTATCATAAAGATTCCAAATGCAGTTTAACTTGTTGTTTATGATGCAACATTACATCATCGTCAGTGAAGTCAAATGCACATTTTGATCTTTATTTGCTGCATCAAAAAAGCCTTCTGAAAAAATATTAATCAAGGTCCTATATCATAGTGTACGGAAGCCCTAAATGGCCATTGTTTATCCATTTCCCTTTGACAAGATCGTTTTACTTGTTTTCTAGAGATCACAAGTCACTCGTGTCCTTATCTCGAAATGACAAATGTATTTTTTTGGATATAACAGAATCATCTCCATGGTTTAAATATTGAATTCCTCTATTTCTGCGATAACAAAGTAATGTTGCTTGTTTTCTAGCGATGACAAAACATTTTTGTCATTATCTCGAAATAACAAATGTTGTTTTACATATACTGAATACTTTTGTTGAGATCTAATTGACACAATTAAAGACTGTGAGAAAACCATGGTTTTAAAATAAAATGCAATAAGCATAGGCCCAGATCACGTTGTCTCGACAAAACATAAACTGTACCACAGAAAAAAATAAGAAATTATATTTTTGAACCATGGCCATTTAAGGCTTCCGTAGAATCCCTGAAACCTTCAGGTAAACATTCATCTTGGATTTTTCTTCAAACATAGTGTAGTCTGAAAGTGCTCACTGTCACACATCTCACAGTTTACAACAAATAAACTCTTATCTGCAGGCTGTAGGTGGATATAAGTTGACTACAAGAGGACATACTACTACATAGTGAGTAAAGTTGTAGGGTAGTTCTTGTATAAAAGTCGCATAAATTCATACGTAGTGTGGTGGTGGCTAGGATTGTAGGTATATACCGATGTACAGACACTTCAATTTGAAGTTGTTGAATAATAGAGAACATGTTGCATTAGCCTTACACACTTACAAAAAAAATACCTTTCTGTACACAACTTTAAATACCTTTATACACAGAGTGATATAGGAACATACATACAGTATAGAATAATTGGGAGTTAATAAAGCCCTCGCGATTTAATGGTCAAGTTTCTCGGTATACTGCCTTGAAGTTTTTATTGTACACCTCAGGATGTTGTTCCTTTTTAAAGATGATTCACGTCTTTTACAGTTACAATAATCACCAAGTGAATTGCTGAAATGTCTGAGCTAAAAATAGGTCTAATGGGACAAAATAACATTAGCAATAATAGGAGTATTGTTTATCCAGATCAAGATCCAACAGGGGCTCATAAAGGTGATTAATGGGGCAGGAAGTTAGAAGATTCTGCTAGACATGATTGTGTTTGTTGTTGACTACTTTGAACTTCACACTATTTCTTGTGAAATTCTCAAATGTTTTCAGGGTTTCCCCAGGATGTGGTTAGAGGAGGTGGTAGGTGATTTCTTTTTGAAAAATAAAAAATGTGCTTTCCCAATTGATTACTTAAATTATGAAAGGATCAATAAATTGATGTCACATTCTCAGCTAAATACCACAAATCCTGCCGCATCTCGTCTTGATACACTTTTTAGGGCCTCTGAATTGAGACTGAAATGTAACGCATGATGGAATTGAGTTTAACTTGGATGACTTTTCCCCCCAATTTGCCCATTTGTAAAACAGCAAGACGTTCTAACAGTGCAGCCTGGATTAGAAAGCCGTAGAATCCAAAATACCTGTGGCTATTTTAGCTTGTTAGCATTGTTGCACCATTTTATTTCATTTAACCTCCACTTTCGAAGTAAAAACGACTTGACAAAAGAGAGGTAATTTGAAGAACAGCTATGCGACAGAAGTTGATAGTACAAATATCAGTTTTTTTATAAACTAGGTGGACTTTAGGTGACGGAGCTAAACCAACAAGCTAACAAGTTTGCTAACGGCTTGCAGTAATTTGATTTCCCTGTAAAATAACTATTTATTGAACAAAATGGTGAATGAAAAAGTCAAGGGAGATTTAACAGGCTAGCTGATAGCATGTTAGCGGTTACCTTGCTAGCAACAGCAGTTCAGCAACTCTTCTGGCGGTGTTAGTGCTCACCCTGATCTCAGCAATTAACCTGGTTAGTACAATGCTATCATAACCAACAGAACTGTTATCAGAACTCTCAATAAATGTTTTCTTTCAGTCATATACTGTATTTCTTGATCCCTTTTGGAAAAAATTGGTGTGAGAAAATGTGCAGCCTAGAGCAAAGCTTCTAGGATTCAGTGTGTTGCTTAGAGAGAACTACAGGGGTTGTTGCCACTATCATCACATTTAATCTCTTCAGTAACTTTTAACCAGTGTGGGTAGGTTTGCTGGGACATCCCCTTCATAAAAAACTGTACATGGAAACCAAAAGCCTTAGTTTAGCTGACATCAGAGTAACTTTGTTGTGGTTTTTTCTGGTATTTTTCTCCAAAAGAAGTTCAAGTCCAATAAGTAGATCTCCAGTAAAGAATCAATCGCGATTACAAATTAAACCCAGGTATCAAAAGAAGGGTATACTGTCGTTGCTGGAACCCTGCAGAGATAACTTTGCGGTTTGGAGACGAAGTTCCTGGTATCAGATCTCCAAGATAGAAACACAATACACTGCCACTTTTCCTCAAAGTCTTATATCATGCAGACGAGTGTGTTTGTGTATTGTTTTTTATTGGATGGTCTGGGCAGTGGTGACATCAAACTGTTTTGAAAGTCAGATCTTTAGGAAGACCAAAGAGAGTTCCAGTTGTTTATTTCAAAGTCTTTGTACAGAAAACCACCTTGTGCGTTGGGATTTGACAAACTGTTTTGTATATACAGCAGTGGGCAAGCACACCAACATGTAACATGTGGTGCATTAACATTTGCAAAAATATATTTTCATATTTTTTTGCCTTACAGATGGACAATATAAATAGTAAATCATTCATGGAAAATATACACAGGGACTGAAAACGGATACATTGTATAGGCGTAGCCAACTTAAAGTGCTGAGTTAATTGGATTTTTAAACAAGCCGCAAGCATTAAGGTATATTCGGACTAAAAATATCCCTCGACCTGTATAGAGGACACATCAACATCAGTGCCCCGCCCTGCAGGGCATCATAACTCTGTTCGGGTTAAAACCGCTTTCAGGCTGATCCAAACATACTTTCACATTCCTTTTCCCCAGCTTGATTTGTCAGTAGGCGAAATGAGACTGGAATGTTTGACACTTTATTGAACGGAAAAATAAACCTTATTTTAGAGAAGTGAAAGTGACCTGGCATCAAATCTTGATTAGCAATCAGGGTTCCTTCACAGTGTCGTTCTGTACTCTGGTCAACATCAGCAAATCTTTGCTCTCAGGACTAATCATTCATCAGGTCGGACCGATTCAATAAATCAGCTTCCACCAGATCACTGTTCTTGGCCCTCTGCCACACAGAAACTTATGCAACATATACTGTTTGTGTTTGAAACGGGTACACAGTATTTAAAGCTAAATGGTGAGAACAGTAGAAAGATGCCTCAGATCTCCCTGACGAACACTGAAACTAGCTTTTTTGACATGCAGAGCCCCTGAACCTGCCAGCTCTCATAAATCCTCTTTGGCTTACTTTGCTAAATCAAAGTGTACTATACTGTGAAGCGAACAACAACACGATACCTGAAACTGCCTCAAACCGCACAACAAGACTCATAACAAAACAGCAGCAACCAGAACCAGTGATTATACAGGCAGAGCTGCCTTTAAGGACTCTGCATGTGGAATCCAGGATAGACTCGTGTTGAAGTACTTCACAAATATAACTGACACCTGCGCTAATTTTGCTTCTCCATCTAGAGAGACTCTGTTCTCACAAAGCTAACTGGTGTTTCTGTGTTTTGACTTTCCTTCTGGCCAGGCTTGCGAATTCTCTAGCATTATCTATAAGAGGAGAGCGCAGATGTATGCGCCGGCTTGTTGCCATGGCAATCAGATCTTGCTGTTCTCCAGGTGGGAGTCAATGTGCTTGATGAGGGCATCGTCAGGGTAACCAACAGGGAATATCAGCTGGCAGAGGGGGCAGCTCCGCATGTCGCTCTCCTCCGTCTCCATCCAGAGCTGCAGGGGAACACACACACACACACACACACACACACACACACACACACACACACACACACACACACACACAGATACAGAAATTATAGATCACATGCCACCCTCAACTTACTTCACTGGATTGTATTAGTCATTCTGTGGGCGGCAACACAATCATATCACTACTGTACTTGGTGAGTGACCACTTCAGACTTACACAACAGGGTTTTGCCATATAATAGGTCGACTGGTACTACATCCAGGAGGAAGCTCTCATCTATGCACTGATTCATTGTGTTAGGCAGCTACGTTTAGAAAGAAGACTTATTAGAGCAAAGTTAATATCCATTACATGTCCATGCGTTATTTTGAATTGCCCACCAGGTAGTATTTTAAACAGGACAACATCATTTTCAGTGCCCACCATACACCAGTAATAAGTCCTATAGTTTCTAGAAGGCTTTGCCACCAATGTTAAACTATGTTGTTTCAGCTAATTTCTGAAATCAACTTATGCAATTTTCTTGCAAGGGTGGAACAGCTAACCTGACACTGTCACAAGTTTAAAAATGAACCCCCCCCCAAGCTGTTTATTTACTTGATGCATCTTGATTGTTCAAGTTAAGTTACAGGTTATTCATACATCGTGGACTGCTGACTGCCAGCTCTGTATTTAGCACTGATGCCAGTTTTGACTGGTGATTTCTAGTCTTTACTTTACTGTCACAATGGTATTATTCCATGCAACCCTATTAGGAAGAAACTGTGCATATAATTGCACCCAGCTGATGTTTGACAACAAATACACTTATGTTCTCACTGTTAAACCACACACGTTTCTGTTTGTGTACTTTAAATAGACAATGTGTTATTTAGTCTTAAGGCTTAGAGATGTTGTACATTTTCGTTGTGGACAGGGCTGTTTTCTTTCCTTTATGCTAAGCTAGGCCAAACATACTTGACTAATAAAAACTCGCTTTAAGAAAAAAAGCAAAAATGTTCTGTTATGTCATTATTTTAAAGGAACTAGAAAGAAACATGAGGAAGATGGAGGCCTTTAAGAAGATTTTGACCTTTTAGTGCAAAGAATACCTACTCATTGGAAAGAGTATTGGTGTTGAAAAAAAGTCATTTTGTGTGAAACAGCTCAGCACTCTCACAGTTGTGGCAAATTGCTGCTTTGGAAAATGTTTCACTGCTGCAACTTAATAGTTTCAGAACCACTCGCACGTCTACAACTGTAGATGTAATTTAGTCATACACCTTGTTTTTACTCACGTTGATGGAGGGCCAGGACTGAGCGTGCTCTGCTGACATGTAGCCGGGCTGCGGGTGGCAGCTGAGGGTGTTAGACCTCTGAGGGATGGGGAACACGGAGCAGGACGCCGGGCCCCTCATCACGCCACTGGGCACTGTAGAAGAGAGCACGCCAAGGGTCCGTGGGGGGCTGATGGGATGCGGGCAGTTCCACTCTTCCTCATCTTCAGAGGACTGTGGAGGCTGGGGGGCCGGTGTAGAAGGAGCAGGAGGCTCAAAATGCAAGTGCGCCACCTCAGACAAAGGGAATGGCATCTCTCTCGAGTGGCGCATGGAGCTCTCTCCGAGGCCCCCGTCCCCTCCTGAACCGCCTTGATGGTGGGACGGGGAGCCTCTGTGCTGCAGTCCTCCGTGAGGAGAGCCCCCATGTTGGGCCTGCTGTTTTGCGTAGCCGTCAATGTAGGGCCGGGGCTTAGGCAGGGTGGAAACGGGGTCCAGGGAGAAGCGGGGCGGGCAGTGGTAGGCGGAGGGGTCCGACACCTCGGAGTAACTGCGGCGGCCCTGGAAGCTGGCCCTCAGATGCTGGCTGGGGGGCCGGCAGGAGTAAGAGGCCGGTCCATTGTTGACGTCGAGCAGGGGGGAGCGGCGGTGCATGTCTGGGGAGAGGCGTTGCAGCACAGGGGAGCGTCTCTGTTGGATGGGGGAGTGGTGGGATGGAGGGGGGACCGGAGAGTGGCGCTGAGAGATGGGCGAGTGGCGCTGAGACACTGGGGAGTGGCGCTGGTGGTGGATGGGAGAGTGACGCTGGACTGAGAGAAGAAAAACAAACGTGTAGAAACATATTTAAAAGGAATGTTGGAAGATTTGACTACAATACAGTATACAGCAGATGTGTATGTCATTTATTTGTGTATAGTGGTCTGGCCTGGACCCTTTACTGTCATTTAAGTTTAGGGCCACAACAAACCATTATTTTCATTATTGATCTGCTGATTCTTTTACCGCCCTTTTTGCTTAAAAAATTACTTAATGATTAATTGATTATCATAAAAGTGTCCGATTCCTTTTTTGTTGATTGACTAATTATTGCAGCTGTAATTAAGTGATATCTTAGTGGTGCAGCATAAACTTATATTTCAGACAATAGTGATCTTCCAGCTATTTAAAATGAGAATTAATGGTAGTTACAGGTGTACACATACTTATGATTATGTGGATTTATAAAAGAGTATCCATCCAAAACACCAAGACATTACATAAATACAACTGTTTCAAGAAAGAACTGTAGACAATGTTACTGATTCAACAGTTTTATAATCCTTTCACACCTTCACTAAATAAACCATCAGGATATTCAGTTGAATCGGAATCAGAAAATAAATGCACATCATGATGCTCTATGCATTCATTAAAATATTAAAATCCGTACAGTCGTATAGTTTGTGTAATAAGACCTGTTGATGAGTCAGTCAGCCCTATAGTCACCACTTCACTTCCCATATCAAAGAGGAAGCATCATTTATGGCCGGTTGGTTGAGGTGTTAGAGAGGGAGGGGGTGTTTTGTGCTCTGGTGCACTCTCTAGGCCTCCGAATGAGGTGGAAAGACGCAAACGGGACGCTTCAGATCACGCTTATACTCTCACAGGAGAACGTTTAAGCCTCTACACAAATTCCCAAATCCCAACTGATTATTTCAACAATTGACAAAAATATTAGTTTTGTTGTTAAAAATAGCCAAGAGGCAATCATATTTCTTGCAGGATGCTGGTACTAATTAAGATGAAGTGCCATTCAAGTCACAAAAGAGCACCACGGGGAGAAGTTAACTGCAGTTTTGGGGTTTTCCTTGTTTTGCCCACTGTTAGCTGCCTTAAAATGCAGCCGTTCGTTGATTTATGCAGGATAATATCCCAGTTTGTACTATTCACAGCTCCGTAAAGGCAATGCATGCCTTTGTGTTTGTGGTACATGGTAGACGCAAAGTTGTGAGACGCTATATGTGTGCAGGAAGAGAAGGTGTTGCTACCGTTTAGTACTTGTAAGTTGAATTCCACAACATGTTTTTGTGAGTTTCTGATAACCAGCTGGTTTTAAATGCCTCTATAATAAAACATGTAAGACCTACAGTAACTTATTAGTTATTGAAATGAAATGTAGTTTTACAAACTAATCCAAATCAACTAAAACATTTCTATGTTCAATTTCAAAATGATTAGTTTTGTTTTGGTTGTGAGCCCGAACCCTATAATTATTCAATTAAAGAGAAAGAATACAATTAAATCTATTTAATTTGTACGTATGAAAATCCCAAAAATCTCGGGGGGGGGTATACTTTTCTTATATGATCTTATAAGAAAGTACTATGATAGAATCGTATTGTACTCTGTTTTCATCACTAATGTGTTCATGTAGAGTATTTTAATGTTTTAGTACAATATGGAGCAATTATACATATACTTTTATACCACTGGATAGAATTGTTTTGCAAAGAGTAACTAATGATTTCCATGTTTCATTGTAAGGTAGAAGTTGTAAATCTGCATCAAATTTGTACAAAGGTGGAGCAACTGACCAATTGTACTTGGTTACATTCTACCCCTGCTTTTACTCAAGTAAGGGATCTAAATACACCTTCATCCTGAGGGACATTTGTGTAGTGGCCCAGCCTTTCAACATTTTTGATTCACAGTATTTTGCATGCTCACCTGGGCTAGCCTGCTCCTGTGACGCTTTCCTCAGGATCTCCGTCTGCTTGGAACTCAGTGCCTGGAGGCGTCCCAGCTCCTCCGTCAGCTCAGTGTAGGCCAGAGCCAAATTCACCCTGGAGGAAGGAAGGCAATTAAGTCATTATCATAATAATTGTCATTGCAGAATATCACATTGTGGGTGGATTGTTACAATATTGCAACTCCAATCTCTGTGATGTATGGAAGTTAATCATAGTCTTTAATATTGTAAGATGTAGGCAACTGTACAAATCCACACTGATCCACAGCCCTGACAAAGCCGCACAAATCAGGCCGGCTAATTGAGAGGCTTATCGGCTTATATTTTTAGAGTGCATGTCACGGCGCATAATTTGAAGTGCATAAAATCACACTCATGCGAGATGTGTCATGACTGTCTCAGGGGGCCGCACTGACGGAGCAACTCTATTTCAAGAAGCGTAAACAAGGATGTGCTTCTGTGTTTTTCCCAACCATGGCAACAGGCTCAGTTATTAGATTGAAACTCATCGTTGAGTCCCACAATAGAAATGACTGTCAGGCATGAAACAAGTAGATATAAGGAATAATCTCTGTGCATCTTTAACCATATACTTATAAGCTTAGACAGGATAAAGAGTGATATTGACTGTATGTGGTTAGAAGCAGAGTGAGATTTGTAGGAGGATTTTGTCGAGATAGAAAGAAGAAACTATCATAGTTAGTCACTGTTGCTGCCAGCTGCCCTCAAATCTGATAACACTCAGCTTATCTCAAATGTTGCAGCAATTTTTATAAACTCCCTTGTCCTGACCTGAAATTAAGTCATTCCAGCTCTGACAGTGGTAGATTAAAAATGTTAATTGCAAGATGTGAAACCCTGAAATCTAACTGGAGATCTGTTAAGATCAGTGTATCCTGCCAGCGTGAATCATTTTCTTCTACCAAGGCCAGGTTTGATTACTGTCATTTTGCAATAAAAAATGTGAATTCAAACTTTCACAGGATACCAGACGTGCAATTACTTTTACCATGATATTTAAATCCATGTAAAAATGTTCATGTTCTGCACCGATAATACATGGTTGAGCATGTTATGCACAACGTAAACACTCATCATGAACCACTTTGCCATTCTCTCTGTTTATGAAATGGCATTTGTGACTGTATACAAATAATTATAAAACGAACAAGTCAAATCAAGCAATCTGATTGGTTCTTAGCCGTGATATAATGAGCGTATACCACGGGTAGAATTGTAGTTACTTTTCACAACAAGTCAGTATACAATATACAAATAATTATACAATTGCCAATACATTGTTTCCCTATGGCAGTGTTTAACATTTCTATATTTCTATAAATTATGTATTATTTAATTAATGATATATATTAAAAAAAATAATTGGGTTACTTAATTATAGCGTTTATTTATAATATCATTATTAATAATTATTTTCTTGGTCTTTTTGTATGAAATGATGAATGAAAAGCACTTTCAGCTGCCTTTGTCTTAACAATAAAACTAGCGTCAAGTCCTATGTTTTCAACCAGATATTACAAGTTTAAAGGAACAATTGAAATTCGTATGTTGGCAAATGCTCAGTCAGCAGGAGCACCTGCCCCCATGATGAGCGGAAAGATAAAAAATTACTTTTTTCACGTACGTAAGTGCCAACCTCAGATCTGATATACATCTCCGATAGATAATTTGTACGTCTTGTTGATCAGAAATTGACTTGGTTTATTCCTACATAGAGATTGTGGCAGATAAAACATTGCTATAGAACAACACTTTTGCAACACATGCTGGAAATGTCTACTGCATAAATAGGAAGAGGTAACTTCCACAGAAACACCAGCACGACAAAAAGAAAAAATAATTGAAAAACACTAATGTATCCTGCCTACACAGCATATAAAGCACGCTGTCAAATAAGAAGTGTTCCCCAACACACCCGCGCAATAACTTAATTGAGTCTTCCCACTTATGTGTCTAAGCCTGCCACTTTGGTATATAACAGAAGAACACTTGGTATTCTTTTCTACTGATGAAATAAAGTATTATATTCCCCTCTCAACAATCTTATACACATACTTTTTATGTTTATCAGCGTACTGAAAAAACCTGCTTGCTGTTTTGCCACATTTTCAAACACATGGCTTCAAGTTCATGACCCCCAAAATCATTTAAAATAAATCTAGGGACCCCATTTCAAATAAGTTAACAATTTCTAAAAAGAAGGCTGAAAATAAGTCAAAACTTCCACTGGTTAGTTGGCGTTTAGCGACAAGCCCACCTAGTTTTCCACCCTCTGTGCTGTGACTCACAGAGAGCGGGGCATCGACCCCCCCCTTTCACCCCAACCTCAGAACAATGAACATCCCTCTTTGTGGTAAAAGTTCCACAAACCTGATGCTGACATTGTAATGAGTCAGGGTAATTTGAAATCTCCTGCAAATATAAACACATTAATAGCATCGGTATGAAAATAGCAATCCTTAGGTTACTTACTGGCATGGTGGGAGTTGTAGTATTACATGATATCGCCAAAGCAGCCATAAAGTGACTTCTCTCAAGTGGCTCTCAGCACTGCTTTGACTTCTTTCTTACTAAACACAGGCGTGTACTGAGTTTCTTGTCAATTCATATGCATGCAACCCTTCCTTTTTCACAGTTTGTGCTGTTGCACTTTTTAGTTTTTTGTCATTGTGTTTTGACAGCTTGTGTCAGAGGCCCGGCTTTTGCTGCAACACCTTTTTACTCTCAGTCCCGTGTAGTAAAGCAGATGTGTGAACACCTGCAAAGCTCAAGTAGGCTTTCTCAATCTTTTCGGAAATTCTTAATCAGGTCGCTTGTTGGTTTTTGTCTTGGAATGTCTAAAAATACTTTGCAGCATGTGATTTTGCATTTATTCGTATTTCCTTTGTCTTGTGTGTAACTGTGCAAACATACTGTACAATGTGCGGTGCGTAGGAGGGGTGTGATAATGCCGATGCTGCATTGAATAAAGATTCGTGCCACCGAATCAATCGGATACAAGAGTGTACATGTGTGTGGGAGATGAAGTGTGGGCAGAAATCTGACCTCTGATCTGATCAGACGCTTCAAAGAAAGAGCCGTCACTGCAGCTGCCTGCTCTCCTCTTTGTTGGCTTAAGACTAAAGCCAATACTAAGGCCAACAAAGTAATAATAATAGAAACCAATAATCATTTTACTTTTTAAACCTGCTGGAGCTCATTCGCTAATATAAAGGACGAGGCCTACGGGGACAACTAACGTTTGAATATAAGTGATCTGGAGTCAAAAATGATCTTAGAAACGTGTCACTATGTGTCTCTTGTCTGGAAAAATATATTCAGTTTGCATATCACGGGGGGCAGGATGTTAAACAGAGGGGGCTTTTTTTGTCAGGCAAACAGAGGTGTCAAACACTCCTCACACTAAGTCACAGTGGGTTGAGCTTCGCTACCTGTTTTTTTGTAAGTAGTAATCATTTCAAATGTTTTAACAACGGGTTTCAAAGGCTGGCTGGATTTTAGGAAGAATTACATTTTCAAAACACAGCATTACTTCAATGTTTTCTTGAATTTCAAACAAGTAGTGGGGGTTCAACTCAAAATGATCATGTCGTGATTTATAAGAAACAGTTCTCACTTTCTGAAAGCTGAAGAAGGATTAGTCAGTGGCTTGGGGGTGTATTGCCAGGTGGTTTTAGTGTGTGGTTGGCAAGGGCATCCCGTTTACATATTACTAGTTATGAGTGAGGCGAATGAAAAACCACAAACATCGTCACAAAAAAACAAATATGACTGGTTTTAAGGAAAAGCCACAACCTGCATCGCCTCTTACAAAACAGATGCAAAAGGAAGAGAGAAACATTACAAAAGCAAAAGTATTTTTTAAATGTTTGGGTAGGAGTACTTCCTGGACTCAAATATAGTTTATTTGAGGATACATGTAGAAAGAAGAAAACATGAGAAAAGTCTAAGGCACTCTCTTTTAATCAGAATGCCTTTGCTATATTGACCTAATCATGTTTAAAGGGGCCCTTTTATGCCAATTTTCAGGTTTCATAATTGTATTTTGTTCCTGCAGTGTGACATGTTTACATGCTTTAATGTTCAAAAAGTGCTTTATTTTTAGCCTTTGGAGCATTTACATTAACAACAACCTGTATAACAACCTATAGGAAAGGGAAAACCCCAAAAGTACACATTAATAGGGCTTCTTTAACAACATTTACACACTTCAAATAACTTTGCCATAAAGTTAGAAGACCTCTTGTTGTTTAAAAGATATTGCCTTGTTGTAACTCTAGTTTAATATATTATGACAAATTTGAAGGTGGGTTTTATAAATCCACTAATTCGATTCAACATTTCAAGTACACTGGAGAAGATTTAAAAGCATCACAGTGAACCTAATTTATTGTCAAAAGCTTAAATATAAAAAAAGATATATAGAAATGTCCCTCAAAATATGTTAAATGATTAACAGGGCAATGGTTCCAATGCATAATACCAAACCTCCGTTATCAATCTGTGCAGTTTACATTAAATAAGCCCAATTACAAGAAAAAGGCCCCAGGAAACACGAGTATAGGCACTATAGGTTTTCAGTGGGAGTACTGTAGGTGATATTGTTGAGTAAAACCAAAAGGTGACCAAGATCTGGAAAAAACCGTATGCTTCCACCACACACTCAGTACCAGGTCCTCCTCTTCACTGCCACTCCGTTTACTTTCAGTTTGCTCCCCATCGAAACACTTCTGGGGTTTCACTGTGTGGGAGTCATTTAAACCTGCTGCGGTTTTACTTCTTTATGTACCTTTAAACAGCTATGCTTATTGATGAAGGAATTAAGCTAATTTCTTTCCACTCTGTTGTTCTTAATGGCAGGAAGTATTGAGTTGAATCAGACCAGCTTGAATGCTCTTGTTGTGTGGTTTCAGGTATAGTGGAAATAATGTAAAGATAGACACACTGGACCACTTAGAGAAGAGGAAATGGACAGGAAGGAGTTTTCCACTGTGCCTACACCGCCCCCTACTGCTCACATTAGTTCAATAAAGTCAATGCATGCACTAAGATGAATACTTCTTTAATAATGCTGCTTTTGGACCCAGCTTGTCTTGTTTCTAATGAGACCCCCGGAGATCACCTCAGCTCAGCACAGCAGGATAATACAGAGGCAGATGAGAAGCGGCTTTAAGAGAAACATGTTCTCCTGCTGCTCTTTATTTTTTCCTCCATCCTTGCCAAGGATGATGCTCCTCACAAACAAAACAACCCCCAACCCCTCCGTCCTGACCTTTCCTTCCATCGTTTCTAGTTTTGATTTCTTCCCCTCCCCGTGCCCAGAGATCGGCGGTGGTCACTTACTGCTCATCTCCCACCTTCTTTATCCACTCCACATCACACTGCTTGCACTGAGAAGTCATTTCCTGCCGAAGTAGAGCGTGAAATTAGATTAGCATGCAGGTGCTGGTGGAATACTGGACAAAATCTGACAGTATGAGCCCATCGAACCAACATGTTGGAAGGTAATGTCGTCAGAAATAAAGTGGACGTGGGAGAAAACAGGTCCTACTCATTGATGGTTATCATCCTAGCACTGCGTTTTTGTTTATATGTGTATTTCAGGCAAGAAGAAAAAGGTTCACAAATGGCAATATGTCTAGCAATATTGCTCCAAAAAAGAGAAAGATAACTTTATTTTGAAAGTTGAGGTATTGCTTATTTGTATTGACTTGTAATTTAGCATTAAAATGCACCTTAACAGCTGTAATGAGTTCTTATGTTGATGTTTTGTGTTTTGTACCACTCTAATGTCTGTAGTAAATATACCCACAACCAAAAGCTTGTTAGCTTAGCTTAGCATAAAGACTGGAAACAGGGGGATACAGCTAGCAAAACAAATTCCATCTTCTAGAAACTATAAAGTGATCTGATTAAAAAGTTGTTTGTTAAATCTGCACATTTCCATGCAGTTCCCCATTTAATTCAAGTTATTTGTATTAATAGTTTTACATGTAAACAAAAATCTAATAAGGCTTCGAAAGCTGAAGCATATGAATGTGACATTGTAGTTTTTTAAGGAAGTATATTTTATGTTGGCTTTGGACAGGCTAGCTGTTTCCCAATGCTTCCAGTCTTTGTGCGAAGACACAAGTGTTATTGATATACCCATCTTTGACGAACACTATTGAGTTCAGCATGTTTGAAAACTTAATGTCCTGGGTTCAGCCGGACTCTGACATTGATGTGTTGGGATCTGTCCACAGCTCAATGCCTAAAGCTTAACTTTAAATTGGCAAGGTCAGGGATTTGTGTCCCACTGGAGCCAAAAATATATGTCCCCCGCTGGTGTTGTAAAGCTGCTGGAACAAAACTCTTCATCTCGAATATGTTGTGTTGTAGGATGACCACCACTGTAAGTAAGTGCAGCGCAGAATTATAAGGATTCTGTTCAGGTTGGACAGTTCTGCAGCATGCCAGTTACGACAATAAGCAATATTCAATATGAAAAATGTTGTCTTTGTCAGGGGTCTGGTGATCTGGTGTTGTCCAGAATTGTGCAATATCAACTTTTTAGGGATAGATTTAATGTTTTACACATCTCTGAACACTTTGCATTAATCAGAGTTGCAGTATTGTATTATAAGAAAGATTTACAGTTGGGGCTGTACCGAATGTCTTTACATTTCAAGCTTCTAATGAGGTTTTTAATAGAGCTTTATGTTTTAAAAATCATCGAACATTATCCTCAATTTGAATTCACCAGATTCAATGAGTCAGTCCTATTATCATATTTTATTAAATCAACTTTGAGTGCCTTCGAAATGGAGATTTTCATTGTTGGTAGAAAGGTGATGGCATCTTGATGCAGAGCAAATGCAGATACATTATATGATATGCTTTTTTGTTACAACATAAGTCATTTACTTTAATTGTGTTAGCCAAACATTTTTTTCTAAATGTGGAAAAATATGAAGTTTTTTAAAATATGTTAAATCTAGTCCTGTCTAAATTATTTAATCAATCCTTTTTCAAAATATACATTGACTTTACAAAGCTCTTATGTTATTTTACATAACAAATATCATACATCTTTCTCTGCAACTGTGCAGAAAAAAACGGTTTAAAAGAATCTAAAAGGTTCAGGGCTTTTGAATATTGAAGTAATATTTTTGATGAAAAGTTTTAATTTAAGCTTTGAAATCTTCTGTACAGCCCTGTTTGCAGTATTCTTTACATGATTAAAATGATATAGATGCACACAACTGGAACTATGACTGACCCTGTCCCTCTGGCTGTTCTGCAGCATCCTCATGTCCTCCTTTAGCCTCTCACACTCCCCCTTCAGCTCCTGCTCCCTCTGACGCGCCCCCTGGGCCTCGTGCCGCGCCCCCTCCAGCTCGGCCTCCAGCCGCTGCAGCTTCAGGTCGGACAGAGTGTCCAAGCTACGGGAGCTCTGAAGGGTCAAAGCAGGACAGTCCAGCACTGGGAGGAAAAAGAGTGAAAAAAACTTCAGAACAAAACATTTTCTTAGCTTTTTACCCTGACTAATGCAGCTCCTGTGTCCACGGCTGTTGTGTAAGGAGTTGACTTCTTCAAGGGCAGCATCTTTCAGTTTGCACCTGGGTGATGTGATCTGCGTGGGCATGTTAGTGATTCAGCTCCGCTCACACAGACTCAGTCCTTGAGCATGAAAACACTGTAACAGTGCATCATCTTTTGTATCTGAGCTCCTGCCTCCTCATTGGACACGTACAAAGGGTACACATACTGTAGAGTGATCTTTTTCTTCAATTCATTTACAGTTTTCCATTAAATATGAGTTTATGCAAGGTATACCATCAGTAAAGGCATCTGTTGAGATGGCTTTGATGCATTTCTTCCTGGTTTCCATCTGCCTCCCACGTTTTGGAAGAGGGCAGAGGTTAGCACACACTGACTCTAGATCAGCTTAAAGAGGACATATCATACTAATTTTCATACATGTTTTAATGTTCAAAAATGTATTTATTTGTTCTCATACTGCCTGTGCTGCAGCACCTCTTTTCACCCTCTGTCTGAAACCAGTGTCCAGTCCGCTCTGATTGGTTAGATGGCCAGCTCTGTTGTGATTGGTCAACCGCCTAGAGAGGTCCCTCACCTTAGCCTACCACGTTCAGTGTATTGGAGCATTAGCCAATAGAAATGCCAGATTTACATAGTGATGGGACTCTGTTATGGAAGTAAACAAAGGAGTCCAATAGAGGTGTTTCAGGCAGGGGGGGGGGAATGTGTGTGAGAGAAACTCCCTCTGGAGGGGTCTTTGGGATTTTAGCCTTTGCAGACCATTTACATGCACAAAAACATATACATAATACAAAAAAGGGAAAACCCCAAAAAGCACAATAGGGCCCCTTTAAGTTAAGGCATAATCTCCTTTAGTACTGGACTGCAGTTTTTAGCTTGTAATCTATGATGCAATTGAAAAATAACAAAGCCTTGTTAAGACTATATTCCAATATATTAAGCAGTTTTTTTGCATATTTTTTCTTCTTTTTGCTATAAAAGCAGTGTAAGTGACCCGGCCTTGTTTGAAGAATCTAAAATGGGAATGAATTTGCATCTGAATAAGTCGAATGATATCACAGGTTTCCAATGGAGAGTAATTACAATATAGATCCCTCGGCAAATCAAGGAATCCTCCATTTCTGAGTACCCGGCTCTTCAGATGTTTTGAATTTCAATCACAAGCACCCGCATTGACCTGGAGGTCTGTTTTTCTGCGACAGCGACTGGGGAGTTGGAATAAAATGTCCAATCTGCTTCCCTCTAACAGGCCAAGGATCAACTTGACCTCAATTAAAATGCTTTTTCAGGCCAGATTGTTGGATTTGATTAAAGATGCAGAGAAAAGATGAGTGGTGATTAACAGAGATAAGTCGTATCTTGGCAGGTTGATATGAAAATGTTTTTTCTTACTATAAAGTAAAGGTATCAGTGTCAAGTAGTGATTAAACGAAAAACAAAAATAAAATTGCACAGATGTAAGTTGTATTGCTTTGTTTACAGTCAAAGCTATCATAGTGGTAATCATCAAAGTTTTCTGAAATAATACTCTTTTTAATTTTAAACTTTAAACCGTGATTGCCTTGGAAATGTAATAAAACCGGAGGAACCAAAATCAAATGCACTAAAGCGCCACAAACAAAATAAGGTCAATTTAAAGGAAGTAGAATAGAAAACATGTTAAATGCATTTCCTGTTTCTATCAGATTGTCTGCTTTTGTCTCAATTTGAGTATTTATTTATTTACTTTGGACGCTAAACTTTTTTTTGGATAGGTTGTTATAATTTAGCTACATCTTGTACTGAAAAAGTTAAGGGAATTATTTTTAGATTAAAATGACTATTATTTTAAATATAATTATTATCCGTCTTAATTTAAGAAAATACTTTTAATATTTAACATAACGCTAATGAAATTATACCCAAAGGACTAACGGAAATCTACTAATTACATTTTACTGAAAAAGAAATAATATCCTGCTCTCCAAAAATGTCAATAATCACGGCATTGATAGTAATAAAAAAGGTTGACTCTATTGTTGCCATCAGAATATATTTACACTGAAATCATTATGCCATGACATCTTAGCTAGAATCTCAGCGTTTGGAGGGTTACTTTAAAAATGTTATAAATGTAGGACAGACCTACGGTATAGATGAGCTTACAAAAAGTATATTAGTTTAATGTATGAATTACAAGAAAACTGTATTTTGTTTTAATAAATCAGGTGTCCACCTACTGCGTTTAAAAACATTTTTTTTTCAAAGTAACCTGAATGTAAATGCAGGCAGTACGTCTTCCTATAAATTATTGATCGTTATTGATACATTGTAATCCTGCAAGTAATCCCCGCTTTTTCCAATTGTCGTATTAATCTGATTGCGTCTTTTCTTAATGTAACTGTAAGGGAATACAGTTCAATTTTTGTATCCTGATAACATTACTCCGTCTGTCTCTAAGGTCACTCACTGTGTGCGTCGGGGCCGGCGTGCAGCTGCAGGTACTGCATGTCTTTGCTGTGCAGCTGCATGTTGAGTTTCTGCAGAGAGTTCTCCCTTTGCCTCAGAGCGGACTCCAGGCCCAGGATGCGCTCCACGTGCTTCTCCACCAGGCTGGTCTGCAATCACACACATTCATTTGATTTCAATCCTATGAAGATTTTAAAGTTATTTGGTTACTTTGCTTCTTTGTAGACCAGAACGTTTGTAATCATGTTCAACGGTGCTGAATATCAGTATCACTATTCGTTAGTTTCCTGGCACTGAAATTATTTTAGGACAATGGTTTTGGTTTGATATTTAATCAGTTTATCCGTAGTTACAGTTGGAAAAAAACAGCTAATTCTTGCTTTCACTTATAATCTATGGTGGATAAAGTTAGCAGTTTATCATCCGCCGTGTTGTGCCAGATCTGGACAGATCTATGTCAGTTTTCATGTGTGCTTCTATTTATATAAGCAGGTTAACCAAAATGGTGGGAGGAGGGCAGAGTGGCGGGGATGAAATTCAAGGGTGTAGTAGGCGTGTTTTAGCCCTTCACGAAAAAATGTAAGAATATTTTTTATTTACATCTCATTTTTTTGCCTAAAATGTAGATGATACACGCACATCATCATCATCATCATCATCATCATCATCATCATCATCATCATTTATACAGTATATATTATGTAGATTAATGACCAGAAGGTTAAAGGACAATGAGGCCCAGTAGGTACAGTAGCCGGAGCCGGGCTCCAGCTGACATTGACACTGTCTCAGCCCTCGGCAGGTGACACCTTCCAACGTCTCTGGCGCACCTCATTCTATAATCACCCTGCCCACATAAAACTGCTGAGACCGCTCGGCATGAGCTGCTCAACGGACTAGCCTCTCATGTGAGAGGGTTTATTATCACAGAAGGGATCTGGGAAAGAGCAGCCAGACAATCTGTTCAGTTGGAAGCGTCTACCTGCATGGCCCCGATCGACTTTGTTTTATGACTCAGTTACAGAAGTGTGTTCAAATAAGGAGATTTTCCCAAAATGGAAAACAAAAGGATTGATAAAGGAGGAAACTAAAACATATAGGTTAGTATGTTCTAAATTCTACGAAATTGCAGTATCTTGGCAAGATGTGCAATATGTACATTCAATCAAGCGATTATTTCTATGACGAGTCCTTCTGTCTCTGAAGGACTGTTGACTCTGTATAAGAAGTAATGAATACATGTTTGCTCAAAGGTCAATTACTTTTAAATGTGCAGAGTACTCTAAAGTGCCCAATTCAGAAGGGAGGAACGGAACAACAATACGCTGCTGTTCCCTTCCTTTAACATTTCCATGTGATTATAAAATATTACCCAATGAGGTTAAAGGGAGAACGTTTCTTTCAACCGAAACATAAACATTGCAATGAATCAAGAAATACATTTTGATGACGTCTGTGAGCGGTCTGTTTCCTATGGAAGCCTGTTTGCACCACAGGAAAGATATATTGACTTACTATCTCATTATATTGAGTTATATATGTTTTCTTATTTAAACAATTATGTCAAATACAGAATAAGGCACATAGGCATCAATGCTCATCATATAAGCGATAACACTTTATATTAAGGTACACAAATTAACCATCAACTAGTTGTTAATTAACATGCATATTAGCAGTATAGTGGCTCTTTATTACTCATTATAAAACACTTATTAATGCCTTATTCTACATGACCATATTCTACAAGTAATATGTGTATGTTACACTTGCATGTACGAGATCATTAAGTGCCTTCTAACTTGTTTTTTTATAGTTTCACTCCGTTTGAATGTCAGTGGACTGCAAATAAGTCAATAAAGGAGCATGGCTGCTCATTCCCTGGCCCTCAAAAGAGTTTGGCTGGCTGTTTAATTTATGTTCACACTGAGACAGTACAACACAGAGAGAGAACAGTACGCCTATTGTGTAAGTACATACAAGCAGGTCACACAGTATGATCACAAATACATAAACTCTGTTAAAAATCTGTTTTTATTAAAAAGAACAGGCTGTATATGTGTTTTCAGCCTTGGAGAAACTTGACATGTTTTAGTATGTGTCTGAACCTCTCTTTAGTGGTTCATTAATAAAACAGATATTTCAATTTGTCCCTACTTTGATCATGTACTGTTGAGGTTAATGTTGGTAGTTGTGTGCTATAATGTATTTACAAAGTGTGAAGAGGAGGCAACTTTAGAATATGGAACCTGTTCAGGTCAATTAGAGTCAAATTACTTGCTTATTGGTTATGAACAAGACTTCACTTTAAAATAGGGAACATTTTTCTTAGAATAGAAATACCTCATTTTGAGTTATTTAGACATGTTGAGGAGAGCATAGACCAAAGCTCATGTACAACAACTTCCTTACTTGCAACAAATAAGCACTAATTAGTACATTCATGTTGAGGAAAAACTCTCAACTAATGGCCTATTACTTGTAGAATATGGTCATGTAGAATAAGGCATTAATAAGTGTTTTATAATGACTAATAAAGAGCCAATATACTGCTAATATGCATGTTAATTAACAACTAGTTGATGGTGAATTTGTGTACCTTAATATAAAGTTGTACCGCTTATATGATGAACATTGATGTCTATGCGCCTTATTCTGTATTTGACATTGTTTCAATAAAATAAAATATATCTAACTCAATCAGAGGTTGCGCTAGAGTTTTTAGCTGTTACCATGCATAAAAATAAGATTTCTATGGGTTTGAAAATTCTTGGAAACATTTAGTACAATTTTAGAACCCAACTCAACTACATATTTAACATAGGTCTAGTCGTATTTAGACATTTGAATGCATGAACGTTAGATTTTAAACCTTTTTAAGTGTAAGCATCACATATTCTCAGTTCATAATGACAGCTTTACATTTTATATTCAGCGGAATATAGCTGTGATAATTTATTAATGAGCCATATGGCTTCAGCTACTGTAAAGCTACTTAAACATGAGTGCACGGTGCAGTGGACTGAGTGATGTCTGACCATCTTGTCGAGATCCCTCTGGAGGTTGCTCTTCTCCATGTGAATCTTCTCGTAGGCCTGGATCACATCCTCCAGCTGCTCCTCTCTCTCCTTCCTCTTCTGGAGCTGAAGACACAAACACAGAAAGAAAAGCTGAGACTGAAGAACAAAAGGCTTGACATACATTTGCTACTTTCTTCTTTGTCTGCTTTCCCAACAAATGGGGAGAGACGGAAAAAGAAACACATCAAAAAACCTCCTTCTTGTGCGAGGCGTCAAATATGTCTCTTAAGAAATTGTTATGTAACCAAGCAAATTTGGGACACTGAAATCCTGACACCTCCCCATCTCGCAAAACGGATAAATCATAATTTCCGCTATCATCTTAACCCTTGAAAAAATGGATGTCTTGGTGATCTGTCACACTGTGACATAATAAGGGGGTGGAAGTCACGGGATGCCATAATCACATACTCTTTGATAGATCGGAGAGCAGTGACATGCAACAAATGGAGGGAAATACAGATATTGGGAGGCAGGCGAGGACGTGTGCTTTTTTGATGAAGAATATGGTCACTTAGACAACACGGAGAATGAGAGTGGGAGCAGAAGCAAGGGAGTGAGATAAACAGAGAGCCATCGAGGACAAAGAGGTATATGCCACTGCTGTGAGGTCTACATTCACTGTGGCTATGGTAACATATGCTTATGGAAACCTGACACTGAGGTGTAGGGTGGCTTGTCAAACGCATCGTGACTGAGAATACTCCAGAGCTACTGTAAGGAGATTTCAGAAATGCAAATGTGGGGACGGTTGCTAAAACTGCCAACGGTTCTTATTTTTCATTATTTTTGCCACTATGTTTATCAGTAATAAGAGTTATGCTAAGGTTGTTCATAAGCTCTTAGAATGAGTAAAATCAGCAAGATTCCATCCAAATGTAGCAAAAATATGGACTGAATTTCCTGAAAATCTGCAAAACCAGATGAGAATGAATCCGTGTTTTTCATCCACACTCTTCTATTCTCGTTACTGGATGTCGTGCCTCCTCCTCTACTCTCTCCAGAAGGCTTTCAGAGGAGCTGGATGTGTTCTTTGCGGAGTAGTTTTCAGCACTGTGATGTACGAAAGAGGCGTGACGATGGGCAGATGATGCAGCTGTGCCACCTTCATATTTAATGGAAGTTACTCTAATTGACGGCTCCAGTGCATGGATGTCTCATTTTGTTCGATGCCTTTTGCCTCGACTCTCTACTCGTGTCCCTCCCGTGCCTACTCCAATCGCATCTTAGGTTGGAAGGACTAAGACATGAGAAAGGAGGAAATGACGTACAAAAAGAGAGTTGACACTAAATGGTTTGAAGGCTGGGCCTATTACCTCTCATGGTTTCCTCTCTCTGCACAATGTGTACAGTTTCTTGCTTAAATAATACCTACCATACTGTCTCCTACTACTACTACTACTACTACTACTACTACTACTACTACTACTGTACTATTAGCCCTAATACCACTACTAGATGTGCTGTTATGTGTACACTCAAATTAAAGGGGTCCTATTATGCTAATTGTTAGGTTCATTTTTGTATTTTGTGCCTCTACTGTGACATGTTTTCCTGCTTTTAATGTTCAAAAAGGTCTTTAATTTTTCTCATATACTGCCTGTGATGCAGCACCTCTTTTCACCCTCTGTCTGAAACCAGAGCCCAGTCTGCTCTGATTGGTTAGCAGGCCGGTCAATCGCTAAGAGATGACCCGCCCATTAGCCTATCACATACAATGTGTTGGAGCGTTAGCCAATAGAAGTATCAGTGTTACATAGTGATGTCATTATGTTACGGAAGTAAACAAAGGAATCCATTGGAAGCATTTTAATGCAGGGAGGAGTGTGTGGGAGAAAAACTCCCTCTGGAGGGCCTCAATTAAAAGTAGATTTTGACACAGCAACACGCTGCAGTGGTCTCAATATCAAGAGGGAAAGAAGAACTTACTAACATCAGTTGATTTTGAGCTTTAGGTCTAAATACTCCCAAAAATTCAATGTACACACTGCATGAGCTCAGTTCATCTGTTTTGCCCGCATTTTATCAGAAAGACATCAATACGTTATTTTGCCTTCTGCTTTCTGACCTTAAATTCCTGTAAAGCTGTCAGACCGTGTGACATTGTGAATTGCTTCTGCTGCTTCTATAAACCATATCCTTCCTCTTTCTCATTTTCTACCTCTTTTTTGTTGTTTAACCGCTACCGTTTTTACCACTGCCTTCCTGTGTGGATAGTTTCTCATATCTATTTCTCAGCGCTCTAGTTCACACAGTCATAGAAAGTTGCAAGCGAGGGGAATGGGCAGTCCAAACACATTATAGTCGCTGCCTCTCTCTCCTCTCACTTTAGCATACATTTGGAAGGGAGTTGCACTCAAGGGAGTTACCCATATAGTAGAAAAGTAGTAAAACTGATACTTGGTTATTTCCAAATACCTTCTTGTTTTCTATTTTAATTAACTGAATAAACTAATAAACATCAGAAGCTGTCATCCCACATAAACTTTACTTTCTTCTTTTTTAAGGCGTACACATTCAACCAAAAAATCCTAGCCAGGTTTGTTCCCAATTAAAGCACATCTCAAAAATAGAACACCAGCATGAAAATCCCATGTCACAGCGCTCCTTGAAAACACCCATTTTCAGTAATTTCTTGCTTGGGCGGCAGCTTTAGTGCTTAATTAGTTCTGGAAATCTTTCAGCGTATGTCCAACAGGCTTGGCCTACATTTTTCTTTTAATTAAATGAATTTGCATGCAGGGAGGAATTTCTGCGGAGGAAAACCTTTGGTGTGATAAACCTTTTATTTTCCCACAATTTATTATAATGAAATGTACGGATTTTCCTCTGCATGTCCCATCTTGGCTTTGCATTCTCTCCCCTCTCCTCTTGATCCACCCTTCCCTCTGTCCTGTGTCCCCCGCCCTCCCTCTCTCTGTCTCCCCTCTTGTCCTCATCTCTCCTCTCACCTCGTGTGTCAGGATGTTGACTCTCTGCTGCAGGTTTCCATTTTCGGAGTGCAGCAGCGCCGTCTCTTTGCTCTCAAAGGAGCAGTAGGAATTGGTATCCTCCCCAAACTCATTGATCATAGGGAACTGCAGAAAAAATAATCAAATAAAATTATAGTAACATAGAATTAGACATGTAATAACACGAATTAGTGTAAAGAAAAAAATACAAAAAAACAGTGAAATAAACGTTTTGCTTATTCATGCGTTTGTTTGTTTGTTTGTGTGCTTACACCTGCTGTGCTGTTTTCTGCATTTTCTGCTGATTTCACGCTGGGATAATTAAAGATTCATCTTGTATCAACTCTAACTTTATTTCGTCCCAGATATCACTCAGGAGAACAGGGTGTTGAAAATCATGTTTTTTTCCCACATGAACTACATTTTATTTTCCACCTCTCCTTAACTTATCTGTGAATTTTACATAGCAAGATGCTTCTATTGTACTTTAAGTAAGTAATGTCATCCCAGATATTAAAATCTGGGCTGGGTGTGTGACTCAGCTGCTGTTAGGGTAAACCCTAACCCTATCCATCCATCACCAGTAATTTTGTTTGTCCATCTTTTCATAATTATTCACTGAACTCTATACTTATTTTCAGAAGTTACATCCATTGGCCATAGAGTGGTTACGACAATGTTAATTTAGTGTTTGTGTTCCAATCACAGACACTACGTATCAAACCAACTGGTACCAATAACATTTGTAAAGCAAAAGGTTAAGACTGGCCTTATTTTATATTGCGTTATGCAAACAAATGTAATGATAAGGCCGGAACCAACATACTTCATACTTCCTGTCTGCAGACCATTTGTTTCTACTGAAGAGGGTTAGGTTAGGGTTAGGTTTGGGGTTCAGAGTTGATAATCGTTTGCTCTGGCATATTGATCTGTGGATGGGTGTTGCAAATGTGCGGTTTGTCTGGTGTTAATGGCCACTGATAAAAAGGTAAGAAGACCCCATGGCGATCCTGACCGGACCAGTGGACGGCGAGGGCGGCTCTGCAGTGGGCTGTCAATCAAATGTCGCGTCTTCTGCCCTCTTCCTCTGTCCAATGGTCCAACGGTCATTGGACTATAGTCCCGAGGTAATAAGGTTAATAGATGCGTGGGATTGGAAAATATTTACCAACGGTGTGGTGAGACAACTTTCCCCAATGTTGTAGAGGTGCTGTTTTCAGTGGGGTGTTTATGGTGCGTTTTGTCTCTGAGATATTGTGTTTATGGCAGATGGTGCAGATGTTTAGATTTAGGTTAGGGTTAGGCCTCAAATATAGTTTTATTTTACAAGAAGATTTAGTAACTTCAGCTGGTCGCTATAGATTTTAGCAAACGTTACTCAAACAGGAAATAATACTTCATTTGTTGGGGACTATTTTCAGCGGTGGATTAATACATTTGGTGCTCTAGTGAGTGACTATTGAGTCAAAACTAATTACACTGTCTATGTTAATCGTAAAGAAAGAACATGTGACCCAATGCAACAGTGTGGTTCTTTAGTGTGTATGTAATAGTACAATATTTGAGGCATTGATAGACACCATAGTTACTGTAGTAACTGTAGTTACTGTAGTGGAATCACTTCACTGTTAGTTCTGTTCCTTTTGTTTTTTTTTACAATAAAAAACACAAGGAATATCGCCAATGTAATCCTTTAAGAAAAAAATACATTTATATTTTATAGCCTTATTCACAGGAGTAAACATATTTACTGTTGTATATGGTAATGCGGAGAGATATGATGCAAACATTACATGTGGACATACATTTTGCAGAAGTAATTGCATTATATGCTGCAACAATTATGCAGCTATGTCTGCTTATGTAATCATAACTGCATTTTATACCACATTTACTGTTACTTGTGAAGTAGGCAATTTGTCCCGGTTATAGTGTTTAACCGTTGTCTGCTAGCAGGCTGCGATAGAAACACACAAGACGAGTTATATAACTGCATGTGGTTCAACCTAAATGAACTAATTTACATTTAGAGTGCCTACCGTAAGCAGGGAGGGTTTTTTATTTTCTGTGTGAAGTTATTGCCGCTGGTGCAATGTCTATTTGAGGAGCAAACAACTCTTTTCCATTTAGCAGAACACCTCTCTCTGCTCAGTTTAACAGTAAATGTTTGAAACAAGGGCAAACCCCCCCAGGGGTCCCGAGAATCCTCATACTGCCGAGCATCGGGAGCGCTAACAACCTCACTTCAACCGATGTTCAGAGAACAGGAAGCACTTCCATCTGCATCATTACAGCAGATACATGGGCATCTTGTATTTAGAGAAAGCCTGCAACAACACCTCTTCTATAAAAAAAAGGCTTGAAATAATAGACAAGAATACAGAATTTTGCAATTGGGCAAAAGGTCTTTCAAAGTAGGGATTTCAGCAGTCAATGTTGTGATTCTTTTTCAATTGATCGAAATCCAAAATAATAAATAAATGTCACATGTTGTATTTACTGAGCACAGGTGTGAGTACTCCAAACAGCCAACATCCGCACCTGCTCTCCCCAAAATCAACACCTGTCTCTCCGGGAATGGGCCGCGAACAAAGTGCTGCTTGCGACTAAATTCAACAGCGATGTAGCAGCCTGCAGCCATCAGTAACAGCTGCTCACTAAAAGGATGCAGCATTTCCGAACATACACATATGCCTGGAGAGGAAAAGACAAAGTCAAACTGCATTTCCATCAGTTTCTCTACTGAAAAACAAATCAAACATAAAATACCTTTTATGAACTCCACAAAAACTTCAGAAATAATCATCAATCTTTCATGCAAGTCTCCTAAAATCAAAGTTTGCAACGACGGTCGACTCTTACATCACAGAGGATTTTGAGTTTCCGACCAACAGTATCCCGCGTAGAACATAATAGAGCAACAGCTTGCGCTTTTTTTGGAATTCTTCCTCAGCATTTTGATTCCTGCAGCCTCTTTGATAACTTTTGTCCTTTGAAGCATTTCCTTTATCTTCAAGAAACAACTCTCCATCATTGAGAACGGCAAGGCTTATTAAAAGACCTCAAGCACCTGAAGCAAAACAGAAGCAACATAACACCATATTATTTTTAGAACAGCACACTCATGATAATAATAATAATATCCAGGATTTTTTAAAATCTTTAATCCTTCTTTGTTCCTAATTAAGGCAATTTATTTCTCCCTTGCTTTTACCTTATTATCGCCCTTTAGTGTCTTGCACTGCATTTCTGCCTACTTACCTCCAGTTCCTCTTATATTTTCCACTTTGCCTCACTTTCTGTCCTCCCATGCTATTCCCTTATGCCACCCCTATATCTGTGGTTATTGGGCCAGCTACTGCTAGGATCTGGTTTTCTGCATCACCTGCTCTTCCATCCAACCGAAAAAAGTGGTCTGATTTCCACCACCAACCAAGCAGGCCTGGCCATGGAGAAATCTTTACGGAGTCACTGATTCTTTTGGGCAAAAAGCTCAGCTGATACTGTTATTTTATATTATATCCGGAACGCAATTTTGAACATTGAAAAAGACTTGTTTGGCTCATTATTTCTGCCAGGCTTAACCCTTGGGGGAGATCATGTGGTTAGCTGTGTGTGTATATTTGTCTGTCCATGCTAATCTTGCATACTACTAGACACCATCAGCATAATCTTTTTTAAACTCATTTTTGACAGTTGGCTCAATTGCCTCCCGTGGTGGCAGTTATTCAAATTTTTTGATACATTATTGACTGTTTTTTACTGTCATAGACTGCTGACTCCTCACTTCTCTAAAGCGACCGGAGTGCTTCAGTAGCAAAATCACAGTATATATTTCCCAGCTGACTCCTATTGATGTCACCAATAATGTTAACACAATCAATCAAAACCAATATTGGCAGTGTCAGTGGGTTTAAACCCGAGATAAAATCAATCAAGAAGAAACAAAGCTAGTCATAGGTCATATCATGAGTTCAGTATCAGCTGGACTGCATGGCCTAATCTTCACCTGATACAAAATCCAGATTTTTTTATTTATCTGAATAAGAAAACAGGATGTACACTGCACAGTTTGGCCATGTTTCTTATTAAAAAGATCCACCAACAACATTCACCATAGGGCAAAGGGGATAAGACACAGCGCACATTTTGAACAGCCTTGAATTAAATATATGAAAAATAACGGATGTTCAGGATTAATGATTCAGAATGATTCATAGCTTCAACACTTGATAACAAATAATGTTTTAAGTTGTTGCAAATGCCACACATTTCCTAGCCCCAACTTTTTCTAATGCAAATATCAGCTGCTTTTCTTTGTAATTTGTAAGGATAATTGAAATATCTTGGATTTTAAACGTTTTTTTGCAAAATTCTTTAATTACATTTTATTGAAAAAAGTAGATGCCTTAACGGTCCCATGTCATGCTTTTCCGGTTATTACCCGTCCCCTTGTGTGTTATTAAGGTTTTTATGAATGAAGTCACAAACCCTCAAAGTACACCCTGTAGCGAGTAAAACTCTAACACAGAAAATACCTGTCTATGCTGCCCCAGAACGCCTCGTTGGACATTTCTCTTTTTCTTCCTGGGTACAGTGACGTGCTCATACCCAAATGGACCCATCGGTCCAAATGGACCAATCCTTGGAGCCGTTAAGTCCGTTCCTCACACACACACTCTCAATCTTTTCTCAGCTGCAGCTCCGTCGATTTCTCCTCCCTGAGACGGCGGGACGCGGCGAGGCTGTGAGTCGTGTGTGAGCACAGGGCCGTCCCTGGCCAACTTGGGGCCCCAAGCAACATTGTGAGATGAGGTCCCCCCACCGACAGGAGTGACATTTTTTTTGAGGGAAACAAAGTACTTTGCAAATATAATTCCTGTTTATTATTATTATTATCAACACAGTTACTTTTTTATACAGTGAGGTAAATGGTAAATGTGCATGTATGTCGTTCAGTATGCGTTTACAGGTGAATACGTCTGCATCTCCTGCCAAATACTAGCCTCAAAAAGATTAAAATATAATTAATGCAAATAAACTACTTCTACTAATAATAATAATAATCATAATCAATTCAATAATATAAATACTATATTATTATAATATAGTTGTAATATAGTCAAGACAAAACATGCTTATTACATGCTCAAAAACAGATATTTTTTAAATCTGTATTAAAATATAGTTCCCTCTGTCAGCAATGTATCAACAACTACACACACATTTCTATCAGTATTTCTCTGTGTTGTGGTTGACATGATGATGACTGTTAGGAGTTAAGGGGAGAGGCTGAGCATTACCATGAAATGTGCAAATTGACATACAAATTAATAAAAGGGGAAACAATGCTCCATGTTTGTTAGGCTCTAAACTTTAACTGTTATGTAAGCCAACTAGACAGACAGTTTATCATTCTTCCTCCTGTACATTAGCAGATAAAAGGCATAAAATACTTGAATGAATGGTAAATAAAGAATGCTGGAAATAACTGCATCTCCATTAGCCTATATGGTATGCAGAGACTGCCTTCTTCATTTTGTGAATTGCAGCTGACGTTTTAATATGGCAATTGGCAATTTGACTTATACAACATTTGCAGGTTGTACATTTGACTCATACAATAACCCACCTTCGAGTGATGCTCTAGTTTCTTCATGTTTTGTTTTTTTCCCCTCTTGCTTGCGCCGGACTGAAACTGTCTTTTCACCGTCATCTCTTCACCTGCACTAGTGGCCGTATCAAAGCCGTGATTGGTCAGATGTCGATTCATTGCAACGGTGTCGGGTTACAGACGTGCTCCCCTTGTCACCTCTCTCTCACTCTTGAGGGGGGTTCGCGGAGAACTGAGCGGAGAACTGCGCACAGGAGCTGAGGCCCTCTGGGCGGGGCCCCCTGCGAAGGGCGGGGCCCCATGCAGCCTGCGTGATTGGCCTGTAGGGAGGGGCGGCCCTGTATACAAATATATAAAAAACATGTCTATGAAGTGTTTTGCTCAAAATACCAAACAGCTCACTTCAGTAACTTTTTGTTTGCAATACTAGAATATATTTTAGAAGAGACTGCCAGTAATTCCACTGATTCCCATGTGTTGCTCTTCTGACTGAAAACTTGTCTGCTTGAATTTGAGTGCGACTTCACTTTTATAAAACGTAATCGGCACACAGCGAGTGACATTGTAAAGCATGTGTGTATGTACATGTGTTGGAAGGCAGTAAAGCAGTTCTGAGGCCCAAAAAGCAACCTGACATGATTAACCCAGTGTGCATTCAGTTTTTTTGGACAGTAGACTTCTGTCCCTCCCTGTTACACACAAACACACACACACACACACACACACACACACACACACACACACACACACACACACACACACACACACACACACACACACACATGATCCTTTGAAGTTAATGACTTCCTCTGGTGGAGTAGACTTCCTCGAAGAACTGGACAAACAGCCAATTACCACACACAACCTCTCAAACATGGACATAGAAACATAGAAACGTGCACACACACATGCTGATGTGTGCTATTAAAGTTATTATGAGAGTAAATGACTTTGACCCGTCAGATAAACAGTGTATTGGAGCCTGGAACATTTTCTTTGAATGGGGGGCGTGGTGGGGTTGTACTGTAGGTACAAGGAGCCATCATTTCTAAACCTGCACCATACATGGTAATTATTTAAAGAATTTCGCTTATGTGCAGCCTAGGGCTGCAACAACTAATCGACTTAATCGATTAAAATCGGTCGTCGATTCGTTGGTGACGTCATCACGTGTGTTTTACGCGCTGACATCATCACGTTTTTTTTACGCGCTAACGTCATCACCGGTGTTTTATGCGCTTACATGTAGATATTAAAGGCCATGTAATGCATCTAACACAGGTGTTTTTTAATATGTAGTTTAGATATCACCAGAATAAAAATAAATAAAAATGTTTAAAATTTGGTCATAATTAAATGACATATACGTTAAAAACCGATGTTGGTTCCGAAGTTTGTCGAGTACGCCCCCGATCACTCCCGAACGAGCGGTGACGTCACACGTGGCAAACATTGACATTTTATAAAATCAGTCCAAATGGCAAGCAACGCGACAACTTCAGACAGCGACAGCGATCATTCAAGCTCAGATTCGGTGGGTTATCTGGATTCAGTTACAGAAGTAGAGAGTGAACCAGCTAGCCTTTCACTTCAAGGCATCTTGCCTTATCAGTACGAGCCTCCTGCCCGGCAATCGAACAACGAGGCAGAAACTTGTGAAAGAGAAGCGGATTCCGCAGCCGGCGAGACTCGAGTCGGCAATACTGAATGGTAAATTCTGTTTTATTTAATTTGACCTGCACTAAATGTCGATCTTAATTTGTCATCTGTTCCTCACACGTCCGTCAGATATTGTTTTTTTTTAATGTTATGTACAATATTCAGGTGTACATGTCAATGCTGTGAAAGCATGCCCACTGCAGATGAATGCGTATGCTGCAGAGAGATCTGGCAGGTGAAAAATGGAAACAAAATAGACAGTTTTGAACCTTAACCTTGCCAGTACAGAAGACCACCGACGAGAACCTAAGGTCATTAATTAGCCTACCCAGGCTTTAGATTAAAGGCTGTCTCAGTGTTCTTTGGAG